CGCTCGTCTATCATCGAATGTTATTGATCTTCTCTTCTCTTCTGCATCGATTGCTCGAACAACAGGTAAGTCTATTTAGCGATTCTTCAAAAAAATATCAATTGCTTGATTAGGTAAGCTGAAATCAGTTAAAGGACAAGAATATGAATCATGTTATGTTGTTAATAGGTCCAATTCCAGGAGTTATCCAACAATCATATGCTAGGGTTCTTGTTGATTCATGTTTTGTTTTGTTTCGTTTTTGGTTCTAACATCTAAAAGCTGAATGATCTTCTTTTGTTTTGTTTCGTTTCTAGTTGTTAATAGAAGCTGAATGATCTTCTTTTGTTTCGTTTCTGGTTCCAAGCATTACATCATTCTGTGTCAAAAGTTATAAACAATTAGTCTCRTATAGGGATTGTAAATTATAAACAACAGGTTATCCATTTAGTAGAATAAGTGGCCAAGTCTTATCTCACCCCCTCCTTTTTGTTGAATAAGTGACTTCCTTTTGTTATCCATTTAGTAGTTTGTATTGGATTCAAGTCATATATATATATATATATATATATACACTTTAGTCAAACCATGTTGAATCCACAAAAGAACTAAACTGCAGAAATAAAGAATTATAAGGAGTTACTGTCCCATGAAGCGTAGAGTGTTGTTAGACATTTCACTGAACATGGAGTTACCTCTCAGTTTAGTCTTATCTACCTGTAATTATGATCAAAACATTAATTCAAATACATAATTCCTAAGATAGAAATCGTAATAGTTATARAAAAACATAGACATAATCCTAACATCTACCTTCAACATAAAACTCTCAACTTGTAAAAAYTGTGAGAGAAAAACAAGACTTGCCCATAAATTATGAWGAATTTCCAAAAAAAAAAATGAGAAGAAAACCAGTGAGACTACTTTGTGAAYAGAAAGAATGGTACACTAAAATTTGAAAAGAAGAACTAAGGCTAGTTAAAAGGCAACAACACTACAAAAAAGTCTTCATGATGATTCAAGTGTTTATTTATTGACATTTGACGATGGACCAATGGCAATTGATCAACTTACAATCAAGGAAACACCTATGAGCAAAGCATTCCTTTGTATAAAGTTCAATGTAGTAATGGATAAGTGACRTTACCAATATATGCAGATGAGTGCAGTRTGTTCTTCATTCTCCATTTGACACCATAGCTTTTTTATTCTTTTATCTTTCTCCATTAGGAGTCTTCCAAAGGATGACACCTGTTGCAAATAATTAAAAATAAGTGCTGAGAGACCAGAGGATGCTGTTTTAACAAGTTTACAAGCATCTCATTGAGACGGGAAACATGAAGCCTCTATTCAGTCCAAGGGTTCCAATCATGGTAGGTATASCTMTTGTGCTTATATTTTTGATGTAACTAACTCACTGTGTTTACTTTGTGTACAATGCACTTTCAGTTTTTAATAATAAAATCTGAGTACTTTTCTTTGACCTAGTTCTTATAGATCTTAATTCCCTGTGTGTGYTATGACCTAGTTCTTATAGATCTTAAATTCAATTGTTTCTAATCTAGTGTTAACACTTAGAATAATTTAATTCATCATCTAGTTGTAACCATAATCAATTTGGTGAACTTTTCCTTTAGAGCATTTTCTTCCATTTCAAAAGCTTCATGAGTTCTTTGATCTCCTGTAGGCCTTGAGTTTATCAAAAGAAGAGCAGCAACTTAGACTAAGGTGCCATCTACCAAACACTTACCCGAGTAAGCGCTTACCAAGTCACTTTACTTTACCGGATGAAGTAAGAGCGAAGACAAAAATTGAGAGTCTTACCTAGTAAGTGAGAGCAAGGACTCTTACCATGGTTAGAACTTACCGGGATAAATTATTGCATACGATGCGCTTTAGTGAATAAAATCTTACCTGATACGTAAACAATTGAGTTGAATTTTACTGGCTAAGTGTTTAGGTAAAAGGCCCCTAACATAGAATTTTCAACTGTCATGTAAAAAATTGCGAGCAAGAAACAAGTTCWCACTAAGATAGATTTMAGCAATTATCCCACTGTTGACTACCAAGTTGTATGGCTAGGTAACCAAACTATAGATTTCAGCAATGTGTACTATTTTTGGCAAAAGACTTCCAGAAGTTTGATCTCTTTTGGCATTTCTAGGATCTGAACCACATGAATTCTTGCATGACAAATGAAAGTCTGCTCTCCAAAAAGTCAAATTTTAAACTCCATTGAATATGCTAGAATGATTGCGATCATTGGTAACATTTTATTGGTGGGCATAGAGCTTTTGAATGCCAAATTAAATGATCAAATGCTAGAGCTAGATGAAGCTACCTAATAGAAATTTCATGTCTTTGAAGGTGCCTTCTACGTAAAGGGCCATTTCTTGGATAATCTTCTTGCAMTTTTTATCTTTTTATTTCTTGACTCTTGTACTTGATCTGAACCACATGAATTCTTGGCAGAAATTGCTATTATATAACATAGGTTATAACAATATATAACAGTTAGATTTTTTTTTTGGGGGGGGTCATTGTTACGTACAACTTACACAGCCTATTCTCACAATTGATACATTCAAGGGGGTCCCTGCTTATCTCTCCTATCTAATTTCATTTTTTGCATTTAATAATTATATATCATATTTTGTTTATGTAGGCTATGTCAAAGAAAAATTCTGAGAATAGGGGGAAGCGAAAGTATGTTGCTTTAAACGGTACAGTGAGCACTCCAAATCACCATTTTCAAAATAGAACAATCCTTTTATCAGTGAGATAGAGACTTTTCGAAAGTTGCATTATAGAGAAAAAGAGGGTTGTGTTAATGACTATTTTCGCACTTCATATGTAAGTTATGTTTAACGAACTCTTTTGCATGTCTTCATTGTTTTATAAATCACTAAGATTTATATATATGATTTTTATGTCCATAAGAGAACATGGTAGAGATTAAGCGGCAAACTAAATGAATAGAAAATCCTCCGGGTGATCTAGAGATTATGCAACAAGTCTTAGGTAAAAGACCTGCATATATTCGGGGATGGTCTAGGGTCCCGAGCACTAGGAGTGATTCTACGAGTTCRCGACATAACACCGGTGCGTTAGGTCGATTGAGCCACACCGAGATGTCTAATCGACTTGCTTCAACAGAGTCCGAGCTTGCTTCAACCAAATTCGAGCACTTTCTTACGAAGGATGAAGTTGCTGAGTTGCGACAAATGGTGAGATCAATTGTATCCGGCCGGTCAGTTCCAAGTTTTTCATCTTCATTAACTATTCAAGACCAACGTTCAAAGACTCAAGATCGTTAAACATTCTATGATGATTTTAAATTTTTTTTTTGGTGATAAATTTAGACGATATATGAACTAGTTGAATATTAAATTTGGATGGTTCTTATATATATTAAAATTGTTTTGGGATTATTATTAATTGTTCCTGATTAATTTAATATTATTTATTAGTTTAATTTTATTATAATTTATGTTATATATATATGCAGCTAAATTATGGATGAAATAAATATATAATATATTTTTTAGAGAAGGAATTGATTTTTAAAAATGTAACTAAAGATAAATTTTAGAGAAGATTTTGAGTTTGTGTATCTAAATGTCATATTTCGAGACATTTTGTAAGTGTAACTAACGAGGACTTTTAGAGAAGATTTTTTAAAAATGTCACTAAAGCCAATATCTTTAGAGAAGCTTTTCCATTACCTTCTCTAAAAGTATCTTTTAGTAACTCTTATAAACCGTCACAAATACTTGAAAWGTGTTACTAATATATATACTTTTAGAGAAGCTTTGAATAAAAAGTTGACTAAACTTTAGAGAAGYTTTAAAAGTGTATCTAAAGCCTCAATTAAGCATCTCTAAAGGCTAACAAAAACACACCGTCCGAATACCCTCTCTAAAACCTTCACCTACCGTCACACAGAGAAGGTTTTTGACAAAATTGAAAAACTTATCTAAAGGCTTTAGAGAAGCTTTTAAGACTTTTAAGTACAAAACAATACCTTCTCTGAAGGTCATTTTTCTTGTAGTGAGTCCTCGTCCTCGCTTACCGGGTAAGACTCTCGATTCTTGCCTTCGCTCTTACCGGGTAGGATTCTTAGTCTTTGCTATATTCATCTGATAAAGTAAAATGACTTGGTAAGCGCTTACCCGGATAAGCATTTGGTAAACGACACCTTACTCAGAATCAAGAATCAGTTGTTTATTTCACCAAGTTAAAAACTTTGTGGGAATGTGAATGTGGAGGTGTAAAAGAAGTGGAAAAATATTTCCAGATGGAACATGTTATGAATTTTTTGGTGGGCTTAATGATTCTTTTGCCCACAAATTCTTCTGATTGAACCTTTGCCTCCAATTAATCGTGTCTTTTCTCTAGTTGTCCAAGAGGAACGATAGAGGACTAGTATTTCCATGGATCAGTAATCTACAGTGGCATTCAATGCGAAGAACCCTCGATTTGGATCTGGTTCTGGTTTCGGTATGAAAAGTATAACAAAATCAGAGTTTATATAACCAAATAATAAAAGTCATGTCTAAACTTGGAACATTATGAAAATAAAATATCGTATTAACTATGTATTTTATAGAACATTTTTTAAAGGTATTCTATAAACACATCATTTACTTGTACATTTGTGTTTATATATATGACAACTTTCAAATAATGTTCTATAAAATAGTTAATATTATATTTTATTTTGAAAACTTTGTAAACTCAGTTTCAGGTAATATTCTATATAGCATATACCTAACTTATTGGTAAAACATTGAATTGAAGATGAACCATCCATGTCAATGTTCAAAGTCTTGATGCTAGATCTCTTTTCATAGGATATGCAATCTCAGATAATTAACATGCAACAAATATATTTTACATCGGGATTTTCTGGTACGCCATATTATTCTTACCCTTACCCTTACTAGTTTTAGGGTTTTCAATGGCAGTAGCATTTTATATACGATGGATACACATTTAGAGTTCAACAGAAACTATGGCCATCAAGTGTAATTCCACAGGTTGTGGTCCGTTGCAGTCTCTTCGGTTATGAGATCAAGACGAGGAGGGCTAAGAAGCATCCCTTCAGCCATGTCGATTATCAGATTAGGCATATTAAATATCAAATCCTCATCCATAAACTCATCGATAGCAGGTGGCTCAGCTGTAACACCACCACCATGACAGCTTACCAAAGCATCCATAGCCGCACCTGCCGCTGCCGCTGCACTAGCGGCAGCCGCCTGGATATCACGAGAGGCGGCAGAGGCAGGCACTGGCAAAGAAGAAATGGAGGTCGGGAAATTAAACTGGGCAGCTCCACCCTTGAGTGCCAGTGCCGCGACATCGTAAGCCACCGCCGCCATTTCAGGAGTTGGGAATGTACCAAGCCAAATCCGGTTTGGCGATTTTGGCTCACGGATTTCAGAAACCCATTTTCCATTTCTTCCTCTTCGCCTCACTCCATGATATATAGGGTGTTTTTTGGAAGAACCAATAAGAGGAGAGGTACTGCTGCTTTTCGACATTAATATAGCTCTTCCTAATATGATTGCTTAAAACTTCAAAACCCTGTTTGAAGATGAAGATCATCATGGAAACCATGCACTTATATATACGGTTTCTGATGAACTTTTTAGGGTTTACGAGTATTTGCAAACCAGTTGGTGATGAACTGCCTTTTATGAGGTTTTGAGGTGTACGACAAAATCTTTGCTGTGGATCATTTTAGAAGACAAACCACTTGAGCTACAGCAGTGGTTGATATCTACGTTTTGAGTCCTTTTGGAACTCCAAAATCTGTATATGCCTTTTGATGGAGAATCTAGGGTTGAACCTGTTATCAGATATGCACTTATTATATGCAACTGACTTTTCTAGTTTGTGTTACGCACTGAGGGAGCATGTAGGTCATCTTGGGTCCCACCAAATGCTAAATATAGTAGGGAGTAGGGTATAGAGTGTAACTGATATTACCGGAAGCATTCATTTCGCTGTAGTTTAAAAAAACAACTAATTGTCTTGCATTAGTGAAAACTTTATCTTCTTAAAAGTGGATTGTATAATAGTATGGAAATGGGGCAGCAATCTATTAAATTTGGTGATCCTCAACATACACGGCAAATTGGACCCACAAAGCTCAAGATCCGAGTGCAGTCACATGAGCCACATGCTTTTGGCGATCCAGGCTCGCATGTTGGTGGTCACAAGGAGTTGATGGAGTTTTGGTACATAAATTGCGATGAGCTAATTCTAGTTGCAGCGATTGTCATCATAAAGTAAAGGAGCTTGTGACTTGATCAGATGGTGTATGCCCGCATGCCATGTTGAATACAACAAACTTGGGTATCGGTTAACTTATCTAGCGACATCACGTTGCATACGCAAGTCGAATATCATCACAAACGGGATAAATCGCTCATTTGTTTAATTGATCATTTCTCTAATTTGTCAAACACATTTGGTCATCACGACATCACCTCCCTCTCCAAATTCAAAGTATTTGGATTTCTAATCACTTTATAAGCATTCCTTGTCCTCTACTTCTTGATTAAAGAAAACAACATCCCTTGTTTATTGAGATTACATGCATGTTGTAACTTAGTGGAACTTAACTATATTCATGTTCAGTATTTGTGTTAAAACCAATCTAGTAATTTCCTTATTATAACATCAAAAACTTTATTATAAAAACGGTAACAACTCATAGAACAACTAGAAATCACTTGATTGATGACTTATCCTAACAATACATTGCATCGATGGATAAAGATTGTAAATGCAGTATCCTAAGAAAAAAATTTGCCTCTGAGTGTCGTAGTTTTCACGGACATCGTCTAGAACATATAATGATCCCATTGTATTTAAGTACATGAAATCAATCTTGGTGAATTGAAATGTGTTCTATAAATGGAAGTAATGGAAGAAACCTAGGAATATCGGAGGGAAGAACATTGAGTTCTATCATTACAATGAAGCCTTTTATACCTTTATATTTATATATATATATATATATATATATATATTATTAAGGGGTTGTTTGGTTCCTTTTCTATTAAAACCTGTATGGATATAGTTGTCTGTATTAATATAGTTGTCTGTATACTAACAAATAAGTTGTTCGATTATTGTGCTGAATAAATAGTCTGAATGTCCTCAATAACTATTTTACCCGTCAGTTTATATCTTTTATATTTAATACCTATATGTTCTTTCCATTCTAATTGATATAGATTTTTTCGGACCTAATATAAAAAATGGGGGTTTTCCTGATCTATATTGGTTTTCCATTGTAGATTTATACTCTTTAATCTGTTTCCATTCCAAGTATCCAAATCCAATCCAACCTCACAGCCTTACCCTCGGTCCTCACCTCGCCGACTCACCATCTCACGTTTTCTAAATTCTAATCGGTCGCTCATTCAGAACAACAACTCAGCAAGCGTGAAGAAGAAACCCTAATCGGTTGCACGTTTTGATGGACGATGATGTTGTAGGTCGGAGCAGATGAGAAGAAGGAGGCAAGGCAGAGAGCAGACGGTGGACAACGACGGTGGACAACGAGAAGTGATGTCAACAGTTGTTGAAGACACATTTTTTTATTCCATTCCGACCCTGCAAGATTCCGGCTTCCTTTATCGATTCTAAGTTTCTAACCAGAGGAAGGCAAACCACAAGATCGACATCACTTGTTGGACGATGTGATATAACTTAGCAGCTCACGTTTTCTAAATTCTAATCAGTCGCTCGTTCTGATGGACGATGATGTTGTAGGTCGGAGCAGATGAGGAGAAGAGGCGATGTGTTGTGGGAGAAGTGGCTATGGAGAGGGGTTGGTAGAGGGGTTGTTGAGGAAAGTTAATAGCTAAATACAAAGGAGACTGATTTTATAGTTGAGTGGTTTAGCCATGGACTTGCCGAATAAGCCCATATTTGAACAATTAGATATGATTGTACGAATAAGCTATATGACTTATACAGTCCATTAAACCACAACCGAATAGCCACAAATGTGACTTTAACTATTCACTACAAAACAAATAACTTTTACCCGTAATAAAAAAAATATAACTAAAATTAGAAATAAACTTTATTTTAAAAACCGTCAAGTAACCTTGGATAATCACTAGAGGCTACCGACAAACTAAAAAGATTATGTGTTTTAGTTTTAAAAAACAATATATAAATGAACTTTCTTGTAATTAAAAACTAAAATTTAGTCAAAATTAAATAAAAGGAATATATAATGTAATATCTTTTAAAATCAAAGTAAATTCTTTCTTTTTCTCAATCGTGAACAATATTTTTTTAATTCATATTTATTTGAAAAAAATATATATTCAGATATTTAAATAATTTGTTAGTAAAAGTATTAAAATATTTTTAGAAAATCAATAAGTAGTAAAATATTTAATATTTTTCTCTGAAAAAGTATTAAAAAACATTTCCGTACTCTACACCTCAGTTCTTCTTTGCACATCGGCTTGCTCCTCCTCTTTTCTGCACCATTGACTTCCCCCTCTCCTCTCCACTACCAGTTTAAATCAGGTAATCGAGTAGCATTGTGCTCTAAGCCCTAACTTCATGAAAACAATACTAAATAGCTTTGACGACTCCACTCCTCTGGTTTCTAAATGCCTAAGCGAATCCATGGTACTTGTTGGTTCCCAGATCTCATATTTAACCAATGATATAAACAAAATATGTAAACCGGAAGTAATTCAGATCAATAGTTTATAAGTGGAAGAAGTAATAAATACGAAGAACAATATGAACATAGAATCGTAGTCATATGATCAATCGTGAAAGTCAATCTTACAATCATTGAAATAATTGGGTTATTTAAAGATGAAGTGCTTTTACTAAACAACTCACATTCACAAATTACAAATGAGGAACGGGGATCCTATTTATTTGGAAATACAAGAAATACTGATTTTCCTACTTTACACTCAAGTATCTTTTTCATACTTTTAACACTAATATTAGGAATAACAATCTCTTCCTAAGTGTTAAAAGAAAACAATAAAATGAAAATCACCTTTACATCGCAAATTATCTTCCCATTTTACTTTAAATACTTGGAGCTCCCCCTAGATATAACAATCATATAGCTCCCCTGCAACGCCCCATTTTTAATTACACAATTAATTATTTATTTTGTTAGGAAAATATTACGGGCTTAGCAAATAACTAAAATTGATAGGTTGCATTCATAACATTAAAATGTTAGGGTTAATTATGAGAGACTAAAATGGAATCTCGGATAACCCAAATGTTACAAGTTATAGTCAGAGTGTTTTAAAAATAAGAGAAGGAATTAGAAGGGCCTAAAATGTCAATATATATAAGTTGTAAGTACCTAGTTGATGATTGGCCAACCTTGAGGAGTTACACATATTGAATGTCATGATTTAACTCATTTAGCTCCCAAGACTCATAGTCTTCCTCATAGGTTTCTTCTTCTTCTTCTTCACTTATAACTCAAACACACAAACACACATATACCATAATCACATAGAGAGAAAGCTAGGGAGAGAAAGAAGAAGAACGGGAAAAGGGAGAGGGATTTGGTTGAGTTTCTTCAAGGTCCGATCATAAAAGGTAAGCTTTTCCTCCCTCGGTTATGCATGTCAAAGAAAATATCACCATAAATCGTAGGAACCTTATTAAGTTCTACAATTTTTACAGAAGAACCATCTATGTGTGTAATTTATTTTGTTAGAAGAAACCAAAACCTAGTTCAGACTTAAACCTAGCTAGGGTTTTTACCTGACTATCAAATACGTTTCTGAAATCATCCACTTTTTTGTTAAAATCACGGTAAATCTCTCGTTTAACCAATGAACATGAGGCTTACATTTATGATAATCTAAGTGAGTCTAGTTTCTTCCAATTTCAGTTGTTAGACCCCATAAGTATTATGCATGAAGTAATGAAGACAAACAAGTGATGAAGAACCAGAAGACCGATGGAAGACTTCAAGGAAAAATGACTAAGTTTGAAGAACAACCAGAGGGTCGATGAACTGACTAGAGATGCGATGGAAAGTGCATCTCCATAACCCCTTTAGGTACTAACACTTGGAGTTTTCTTCAACAGTTCAACCAGAGGCTAGCTACGAAGATAAGGTTGAACTCATATCCCATGGAAGACAGCTGGAGATGACCAATCAACAGCTGGATTCTACAAAGTTTATCTTGTTTTAATGTTTATCCATGTTTTAGATAAGCTTTATCTGTTAGTAGAAGATTAGCTAAATAGTCTCACTAGATAGTTATCTTCTTATTAGATTACTAGTATAAATAGGTGGTTAGGCCTATTGTAATCTTTGACACTTTACGTTTTTCACAATTATTGGAAAAAAGTGAAATCTTTGGCACTCAAGTTTATCCTTTTAATGTTCATACATTGTTCTTGAGTGTTCATCATTTTATTCATCCAAACACTATAATTTGGTTATTCTTAACTTAATTATTAGTGTTATTGAGAGATCTGAGATCAACAATCAGTATCAGAGCCAATTGAT